CGCATTTCGCCGATCTAGCGAGAAGCATAATTGAGTGCGCGGCGCGGCACAGTAACGCATCGCGCTACAACTTCAACCCGTTCTCTAGCTGGCCCTATGAACGACTTTTTGAAACCCTTAGCTTACCCTCTTATCTGATCATAACCCAACCCTATACTAGGTAGTGGCGTAGTGCACCATCGACAGTGAGCCGCGCGTGTCGACTGTAAGATGCTAAATGGTTTTTTGCGCTAATTTCGGCCATTGGATCAAATTGGACAACCTTCCAATTTTCACAAAGATTTTTCAAGATTATGAATAAATCAAATCAAATTTAATTTCGTCACTGTAAATTAAACTCAATCGTTCACTAAACTTAATTTCGACTTCAAGCTCGTATTTTCTTTATTGTCATTGGGCAGCGTTCAGCCTGTCAATCTGCCGAATCTTTGTAGCGAGATGCGCTACTGTGCCGCGCCGAGCTGCGATGAATTGATATTGTCAATTAAGCCGAATCTCTATTGTTTATGAACATCATAGGCTGGGGTTTGCTTTATCCAGAGCTCTTTCGCTTGCAGTAGCGCGCGACCGCCGAAGGCGGTACAGGATTTCTACTTGTTCTACTTGTGAAACAAGCGCGTCACGCAGTACGCGTAGACTCATGGCTAGGCATGAAGGCTGGACCTCATGGGGTTTATGGTTTTTAGTACCTTAGGGCCAACAAATTTTGGTCACATTAAATTTGGGTCACATTAAATTTGGTTACTATAATTTTGGTTACCATAATTTTGGGCACAAATTTTGCAAATTTTTACATTTAATTAGTTTACAACAATTTAAGTCGAAATTTTGACTTTTCGGGACCATTTTCCATTCAATTTATTTCGATTTTTCCATTGTTAAGATATATATTTTTTCAATTTCGCATATAAAGTCATACTTCATAATGAACTAAGTACAGACAACGGAAAACATGTTTCAGAAATTTCCCAAGGCGCGGTCCACGCCCCACGTGTACACCACGCGCCAAGCGGTCACGTGGACAAATTATCAACCTCGTGATCCTGTAACTTACGTACCATAAGCCCGTATTTTGGCAAGGAGGAATATGCTCGATCTCACCCAATATTACTACAAGGTCGGGAATAAAAGACCCCGTGCCCCCATTGTACTGCACAAAAACCTGACAGTAAAATGTTGGGAACTTACACAATTCACAACAACCGATCAAGTGGCAATTAACATCCAACTCAGCTCGACGGAACTCATTCTGGCAGCTTCGTACATGGATATAAATGGGCCGGTACCGCCACAATACAAAAGACATCACTTCTAGCAAAATATTCATTTGAAGTTTGGTTTTAATGGTACTTGTTGAGGCTGATAAATATGAATTTGACTGAACCTGGGATCAACACCCCATACAATTGTACATCCTCGCCTTCATCATCAACCATATTTTCATCATTTACATCGTCAAGATCGTTACCGTTGTCTATTGTAAGAAATAGCATAAAATCTGAAATTTGATTGATCGAATTTTGATCCCACAACCCACATGTACCACCAATTTGTGGGATACAAAAAATCAATGGAGGGATAAATTAATCAAATTTTGTACACAAAATTGTCCTGTAAAGTATACCGATTTATGACACATAAGCCTTTTCTTAAGAAAACAACAATTTCAAGAAAACAACAATTTTATTTAGTATCAATTAAAGCAGACAAAAATATATTTCATATATATATGAAATATATTTTTGTCTGCTTTAATTGATACTAAATAAAATTGTATATATATATATAACTAGCACGAACTTTAGATCAGATATCTTAGGGGACTTGGAGTAGCAAGAGATTGACTAGAAGGTATATAACTTTTACAAAGATACGTCGAGAAGAATCCAGGGTCAGAGTGCAGACCAAAAGTTTACGCACCCACCTTTGCCTCCGGAGTTCTTGGTTGGATAGAAATTTATGCAAACTTGGTCGTTTATACTCCAAGTCCCTTTCTTAAAAGAAGTAGTATTAACTATGTCTAGAGTTAGCTTCGTTCAATAATAACAATATCAATATAATCAATATCAATACCAGATAAACCTACCGAATAAATTATTAAATATCAATTAATTCATTCCGATAAAAAATTTTATAAATTTAGATATTTAACTTATCTAAAAACATTACAACAAATGGTTAAAAAACGCCCAAAATCGATTTGAAAGATTTTCTGTCTATAGTACAATCATGATAGTAATAGTAAGTGTGTGCCGCTGCAATTAGATTTGATTACTGCAATTTAAAATTGTTTGGAGTCCAAGTATCTTTTAAGTCAGCTGCCTGTGCTTGTATTAATAGTGCTTTGGTTCTCAGTTTTATCAAGCTAATAGGCTGGAGAAAAGGATCCTTTAATGGATCCTTATATGGAAACAGTCACTATTAGTGCAGTCATCATTATAACAGGCTAGTACTGCCTCTTGTACCTATCCTTGTGTACATGGGGAACATAAAATTCATCTAACATGATATTAACATTTTAGGTCCTCCTAATTTAGAGCCACAAGGCCAATTGTGATTTTTAAGTGGTTCAGTCAAAATTTTAGAAGGGGAATATGTAGTTCATTTTTGACAGTTTCATTTTATATCATTGTGATATTGTGTGTAAATTGTTTGAGCTTTTGTTTGGAGTTCCCCAGGGATCACTCTTGGGGCCTATTCTTTTCATCCTCTATATCAAAGCTCTCCAGAAAATTGCGGCCAAATATGGTCTTGATATACAGCTCTATGCAGATGATTCTCAACTGTACATCTCATTTCAACCAAACCGTGTGGTACAGTTCACTGATGTCCAAGACAGAACAAACAAATGTCTTGCAGAGATAAAAGCATGGATGGTGAAGAATTACATGAAACTGAATGAAAGCAAGACAGAACTATTGGTGTTAGGAAAGAGCCATATTCTAAAAAAGTGTGAACTCAGTGTCAGACTGCAATTTGGAAGCACTGAAATTCTACCTACGGAGTGCAAAGGAGACAGCTGGAAGAGTCTGGGAGTCAAATTTGATGAAACTTTAAATATGGAAAGACAGATCAATTATGTCAAAAGGAAATGTAGCTGGACAATGATGAACCTAAGAACTATTGGTCGTTACCTGGATGAAGGCATTAAATTGATGTTGGTGAAACAACTGGTTATATCTAAATTAGATTACTGTAATTCTCTATACATGAATCTACCCAAGACCAGACTAAACAAACTTAGATCCACCCTTAATGGGGCAGTTCGTTTCATCTATAACATAGAAGACAGAACCACGGACTTGGTTCCCTTCTATAAGAAGGCCCACATACTCCCTATAGACCAACGAATATTCTTTAAAGTTTGTCTATTAACCCACAAATCAGTTCACGGTACTGCACCTGATTACCTCAAAGCACTACTGGATTTGGATGTAGCGGATAAAGAACTCTCAAACACCATGACCATGACCAGGTCGAAGAGACCTGATGACCATCTCATGCTCAAGGTACCAAAGAATAAAAAGTCCAAAGTTGATGACAGACGTTTCTCAAGCCATGCACCGATTGCATGGAACTCTCTTCCACTGATGTTGAGATGTATTACTGATACCAACTGCTTCAAGCGAATGTTAAAGAACCATTTATATAATCAGTTTTGATGTTTTTTCTTTCCATTTGTCTTCATTTTGCAAGACACCTTGGCTTTTATTTCTTACCGAACTCCATTTTATGTCTAAGTTCTCTACCTTTCTATGTCACTGTACTAACCTTTATTTTACCTACATGTATTGTATGGTCTCTGATTCTTTTTGATTTAGTGTGGTTTAAAATAAAAGATGTTTTAATTTTGTCTTGGTCTTATATTAATATTACGTTATAATCTTGTTCATTTTTACACATTTGCTCACATCACTCACAGTCAGCCGCTCTGACATGGTTAACCACCTTCCTTGTGTTGTTGGTTAATCATATGAGCGGGATATAAATACCTCATTTCATTTCATTTCATTTCATACTGTTTACTTATTCAACTGTAGGTCCTCCTCCATGAAACTACTACATCGCAGAAATTTCAGGATGTTTGGTCTGTTTCTGGTAACAGTAATGCTACTCTTTCATTCGTCTTCCTCGACAGTCAGTCAGAAAGATTGCACTATTAATCGCAGTAAAACTAATATACTACTAGTAGTAGCTGATGATTTGGGATGGGCTGATATTGGCTTCAGCCACAAGCCTGATGGGTTTGTGTCTGACAAAGGAATACCCGAAACTCCACACTTGGATAGAACTGCTGAAGAAGGTTTAGTTCTAGACAATCTGTACACTCAAGCAGCATGTACTCCAACAAGGGGATCATTAATGACAGGAAAATATGCTTTTAGGCTCGGACAGCTGTTTACTTCTTCCGTTATGACAACAGCGGACAAAAAGGGTCCGTCTGACAGGTTCCTTTCAGAGGTGAGTAGGTCCAAGTTTCCTACAACAAGTTTAATTAAAACTCGTTTTTATAAATCTGAATCCCTCCAATTGTTTAGTCATGAACCATTTCAGTCCAACCTCTTTCAAAAAACAAAGTGTGTTTTAAGTGATCGAAATAGTGAAACTAACTTTAGAAATAGTGCATTCAATTGGGCATCTTGATCCAAAACAATCATATTTATTCATGCTTTCAGGAATTATCAGGAAGTGGCTATAGAGTCCACGGTGTTGGTAAGTGGCATCTTGGCCATCAAAAAGGCAACCTACCTACACAAAAAGGCTTTGATTCTTTTTATGGAATTTATTCTGGTATGGGATCATACTACATTCATAAGGGAGTGGGACACTCTTATAAAAATGGAGTATGGCTTCATAACCAGGAAGATCATGATTTTCATTATGACTACAGGAATGGGTCAGAGTCTGTGTTGACTGAGACTGAGGATGATAAGGGTGTTCACTCTACTCATTTGTTTACTAAAGCAGCAGTCAGTAGAATAAAGGAGCACGATAAAACATCACCTTTGTTTCTGTATGTTGCATACACTGCCCCTCATTCGCCCCTAGAACCAGATGAATCTATTGTTGCTAAGAGAAACAACCACATCATTGATGTGGAGAGAAGGCGCTATGCTGCCATGGTAACACAGATGGATAATGGATTCGGAGAGATCCTTTCTGCACTTGAGGAAAGAAGTATGAAGGAGAACACAGTGATAATATTTATAAGTGATCACGGTGCAGCACTAGTTAAATCCTGTTGGGACTATGTTGGTGGGAGTAATAAACCATATCGTGATGGTAAATTTACATTCTTTGAAGGTGGAATAAAGAGTGCTGCGTTCATCTGGGCACCGTGGCTTAATGATGGTGTAAAGGGTACTCACAGCAAAGCTCTTGCTCATGTTGTTGATATCCATTCCCTGGTCTTATCCTTGGCAGGTAATAATTTCATAATAATCATGTACTTAAGGCCAGAGGGGCCGGGGTAGAGGGATCAAAATCATTTTTCTAGTTTTAACATAATATGTGATAGAGCTGCTGGAGATGACTGAGAAGGAAAGAACCACATAAAAATCTGACCTTGAGTTGCTGAGATATTGCACGCCAAAGTTGGAGGTTTTGAAAATGACTGGCCACTCCCAGAAACTGAGACTTGGCACAGGTGTTTCTTGGGCTAAGTTGTGGTTTACCTTTTTTAAGTTTTATATTTGAGGTATACCGCAAACGTTGGCATGCATTATCTCAGCAACGCAAGGTCAGATTTTTTGGTTCTTTCCTACTCGTTCATCTCCCTGAGCAGCACATTATATTATGTTAAAACTAGAAAATGATTTTTACCCATCCCACTTTGGCCTTAAACTCAGACTCTGAAGACCTAGATAATCTAATTATGAACATTTAGAATTCCACTTAAATTATAAACATGTTTTGAATACACTCCACATAACTTCTTCAATCCTGAGTAAAATGTAATCTTATGACCTGGTTACAAGCTAACGTGAACTTAGATTTGTTTTCAGGAATGACAGAAACTATCTCGGGCATGTTTCAAATTACTGAAGGAGGATTCAAAAAAGATGGTGGAAACTCCTTGCTCAGATCTCTTCATGGTGATCATTCTGGCAGGTTCGAACATAATATGATATAATATGATATTCATTTATCTACTTTTTCTATCATGGTGGAAAATTCTTGAGATAATAATGGTGATAATTAAATCTAGAATTGATCTTTAATTTACTGTATCATGCTAATATATGACAATTTGAAAATACCCATGGCTTGGTTAGTGGTTACACGCAAATAGATTTAGGCCTTGTGGTTGTTTGTGGTCTGGTTGTGATCTGAGCAACAAGACCTTTATATTATTAATGTGTGACCTGTAGACATTCAAAAAATCACCTATTGCATTGTGATGCGACCTATAGAGTATAGAGTATAAATAAATATCATAATGAGTAAGTTCTGCATTTCCTGTTATACATACGCTACCTCACAGCAATAATTAAATTTTACAGAGATACAATCCTGCACAATCTGGTTGTCAACAAACTACCAGAAGATAAGCTTGTAAAGTACTGCAGTCCAACCACGGCACAGCCTGCCCAATATGGTGTTATCAGACATCACAACTACAAACTGTTTTATGGTGATTTACAAAGTTGGTGTCACTCTCACCTCCTGACAGAACCCTGTCCTGACCTGGTGTTTGTGAGTGGGAGGGCTGCAATGTTGTTTGACTTAGAGATAGATCCGTATGAGAGGGTGAATATAGCAGCAAGTAATATTGATGTAGTGGAGAAGTTAGCTGCTATGATATTGAAATATTCTAAAGATGCCCCCTCTCAGTGGGTCGTATAGGTGAGCTGTTTGTTTTTACTTGAGAGCTATTGTCGTCGAGTTTTCCTTACATGATTTGTATTTAGATATCCCCAATAAATGTAGCCCCAAATGGTGACCGAAATGGTAAAAAGTGTATTTTTATTGGTATAATTATTGCTTAATTACATTGTTTGTTTTAATTTGTCTGCACTTGTGTCAGCTTTATAAACCTACACTATATATAGGAAATATAATATAGGATATCAGATTAACAGTATGTTTGTTTTACTGTCAATAGATGATAATAATTCGATTCATTGATGTTAAAATGATATTATAGTGTACAAGAGTAGGGTATGATTGGACATGGATGAATAAGGAGCAAACTCAGTCGCAATTAATTTATTTATTTCATCTTTTACTTTTGGTTCCTATCTTAGTTATAGTAACAGTGTTGTCTTTAACTTTAGATTCCTAACCCACGTTTGCAGTTAACCATTAAAGCTACTCTATATTATTTTTATTGTCTAAACTTAACCGTTTAAGGTAAGCTATATATAGTTTTATTGTCTATTTGTTTGTATCTTGATCTGAAACTGATTTTCGCCAACATTTTAAAATCAGCCAGGTAATATGATAAATATATGTAGTACATTTTAGTATACATTAAAGTATACATTGTACATTATAGTATACATTATAGTATGTATTAAACATTATATAGTGTACATTATAGTTTACATTATAGTGTACATTATAGTTTACATTATAGTGTACATTATAGTGTACATTATATTATACATTATAATGTACATTATACTATACATTATAGCATACATTATACATTATATTATACATTATAGTATACATTATGGTATACATTATAGTGTATATTATATTATACATTATAGTATACATTATAGTATACATTATATTATAAATTATAGTATACATTATAGCATACATTATACATTATAGTATACATTATATTATGCATTATAGTATACATTTTATTAGTATACCATACTCTCATTCGTGTGTTAATTGTAAATTCTCCCCTGGATGTTGCAGTTTTACAGTTAAACAGTTTTACAGTTAAACAGTTTAATATAGTGAAGTGTGAAATGAGGCCAACATTTGGCTTCTCTACTGTACTTCACTTTCTCCATACCTTGATACCTCTTGTTGTTATATCTCTCGGCTGCTGTTCACATTGCTGTTAAATGTTAGACTGCACTTCCCTTAATGTCATTAAAGTTTATCTGAAGTTTCCGAGATAACAGGATTATCAGTGCATTTAGTTGATAAAATGTTTTATATTTTCAATGGAATGTTATGACGATGACGTCACTATACCACCGTTACAGGTGTTCCACTAGATGATATCAGCACACTAAAGCAACAGAGGAGATAACAACCAAACAAGAGAGGAGATAAGAATGGTGTGTTGGTTAATATTGCTGGTAATAATGAATGTAGCAGTAATGGAACCACAAGAGGAATACTGTAGGATAACAGCACCTAATATACTACTAGTTATAGCTGATGATTTGGGATGGGCTGATATTGGCTTCAGCCACAAGCCTGATGGGTTTGTGTCTGACAAAGGAATACCCGAAACTCCACACTTGGATAGAACTGCTGAAGAAGGTTTAGTTCTAGACAATCTGTATACTCAAGCAGCATGTACTCCAACAAGGGGATCATTAATGACAGGAAAATATGCTTTTAGGCTCGGACAACTGTTTACTTCTTCTGTCATGGGACCGCAAGAGAAGGAGAGCTCTTCTCACAAGTTTCTATCCAAGGTAAATAACAAATTCCTAGCATAATACCTTTTGGGAATAATTGATTATCTCTCGAAGTTGCCAGTACAAAACTGAATGCTTTCAGAATGCCAATAAAATATTTCTAATACAATATATAATATTATATTGTATGTATCTTCAGGAGCTTGCCGAAAGAGGGTACAAAGTACACGGGGTTGGTAAATGGCACCTGGGACACAGGGAAAAGAGATATCGTCCCACTGAAAGAGGATTTGATAGTTTCTACGGTCTGTACAAAGGAATGGGGACTCACTACACTCACCACCACGTCTCCCACCCCTGGCTAGGTGAAACGTGGGGACGGCACTTTGGAGATCATGATTTTCATTATGACTACAGGAACGGGTCTGAGTCTGTGTTGACTGAGACTGAGGATGATGAAGGAGTTCACTCTACTGAATTGTTTACTAAAGCAGCAGTCAGTAGAATAAAGGAGCACGATAAAACATCACCTTTGTTTCTGTTTTGGACTACACAAAAGAAACCGTAAAACCCTCATTAAATGTTTCCCTAATTTACGTAACACTTTTAGAAAGTATCTAAAAGTTTATGGTAAAACCTCAAGTTAATGTTCCATATTTAGCCGTAAAACACACCCTTTTCCCTATTTTTTTAATTGACTCGAATTGACATTCAGGAGGACAAAATCGATATGATGCATGTTGAAATAATCAAATAGATATAATACATGTAAGAATTTTCTATGAGCATCATTTTCTTTGTTTAACAAATCTATGAACACTAGCAAATTAAATTTGTTGCATCTAATCTAACTTCTTCACTCAGCACATTGGATTGCAGTTTGGTTAGTAACAGTAACTCTGACAGCTGTGATACTTAATGTACCACACCACAAATTTGACATGGCTTGGTTGCTACAGTTTCTGCTCTGCCAGTTGCAATGTTCTTGCGTTACAGAGAGTTATAGTTGGAACGTTCCTTTCGGACTCAATATTTTAAACAAGATATTTTTACAGGATTCAAATTAATACTGCATGGCATTGGGTGATATAAATCATCAGTACTAAAATTCAAATCTGATGTATAAAAAATACCGTTAATAATAATTATGTCTACCTACGTCCAAACAAAACAATATTTTTAATTATCTCAGAACATAAACAAATTAAACACAGTTCGCTATGCTGGTGCTTACCCTCCAGCTTAGTCAAATGCTTGTCCCCTCTGAATCCTGATAACATAGCGAACTGTTTTATGCATAAATTATGAAACATTATTAACGTACACTTATGCAACTTCTATAATGAAATTGATATTTCAATCGAATGACAGAATTGGTCATTTTTAATTCGAATAGAAAGCTGTAATCATAATTGGGACTATATCGTATGAACTTGTTGTCAAAACAAACCAAATTCTTTGTCAAATTTTCCGATTCGATCGGTAAATGTCCATTGTCCTCATACCATACACTATAAAACTAAGGAAAAAGGAAGTTTCGTTTGGAATCTGTCCTTTAACAATAGATGCTTAAAAAGGTTTAACGGAATTATGGGTTGAAATGAGAAGATAACTAAGGCACTAGGCGCAGGGGTATCATGGAAATCGCCAATGAAGTAGGTATTTACCACTGAATGAGAATTTCCTTCATCATTGACCCAGAACGTAGACAGTGTATTATAACATATTGATTTAGTATATACTAAACTGTGCTCTCAGGACATTTTTGTCTCAACCTGTGCCCAAGTGAGCCCCAGCTGGTGCCCCAACGCATCCTGCCCCAAGTGTGCCCCAAGTAACTTTAAGCCCCCACTGTGCCCCAACTGTGCCCCAGGAATACAAATTGTGCCCCAACTGGGGCACAGTATGTGCCTAGCTAGATTACCAAATTGCCCTTTTATGTTTAATATTATATTTATTATCAGCAGAGAGCCTGTAGAGTGTACAGTTGTATCATGGTGGCCTTCCTAACTTGCCCAACAATAACCAAGGAATATACGTAACAGGTTTTTTAAGTTCCAATTATCAATCAGGGTTTATAAAATTCTAAAGTTTTGGATGAAGCTTAGCGTTCAGTAACCTTCATCAGATTTGAACAATACTATCACATCCCTTAATGGATATACAAGGTGTGTTGACCTTAATCTCTTAATAATCATGTTTCGATATATAACAGTATAACAACTAAAGCGTGACTTTGAATTTAAATATTATTATTATTCTATTGTAATCTTTCTTCTTCGCTTCTTATGAGTGTAGTGGGTCGATCATATAGTTTGATAGTTGTGCCAAGTGAGAGTCTCCATCAGTATTGACACTGTGTTAATTACTGATGGAGACTACATAATGAGGAAAAATAATCATATTTAAATTCAAGTTACAAATATTCAACAGATCATACCAACAAAAATTATTTAAAAGTTAAATTACTGAAATATATATTTAAAATTGAGATATATATTTTTTAAAATTTTTTAAAAGAATGAATAATGGTAAATCTTGCCCATTCATACAAGTTTTTCCCAACATTTATTGCAAGCATCTTTCACCCCTTAAGTTCATTAAAGCTATCTAATAATCGTATTTCTTACACCTAAAGCTAAATCACTTCTTAGAACAGATAACAAGTTTCTTCCTCGGTCTGCCTAATCTACCAGCAAACAGATTGTCAGATTGAATGGCGAATGGCACCCCCCTGCTGCTGAGCAGTGCCACTTGAACAGTTTTACTGGCTCCTGAGAATATGGCCGGACCATCTTCCACGCCGATCTCAATAATCAATATGCCAGACACAGGGGGGTAACGTTGCGGCACTGCCTTCAGACACAGGGGGAAACGTTGCGGCAGACTGCGTTCAGACAAAACCCCCAGGGGGGTAACGTTGCGGCACTGCTCAGACACAGGGGGGTAACGTTGCCGGCAGCTGCTCAGACACAGGGGGGTAAAACGTTGCGGCACTGCTCAACACAGGGGGGTAACTTGCCGGCAACTGCTCAGACACAGGGGGCAACTTTGCGGCAACTGCTCAGACACAGGGGTAACGTTGCGGCACTGCTCAGAACACAGGGGGGTAACGTTTGCGGACTGCCTCAGACCACAGGGGGGTATCGTTGCGGGCACTGCTCAGAACACAGGGGGGTAACGTTGCGGCACTGCATCAGACACAGGGGGTAACGTTGCGGCACTGCTCAGAACACAGGGGGGAACGTTGCGGCACTGCTTCAACCAGGGGGGTAACGTTTGCGGGCACTGCTCAGACCCAGGGGGTACCGTTGCGGCACTCTCAGACACAGGGGGTAACTTCTGCGGCACTGCTCAGACAACATAGGGGGGGTAAAAAACCACCGTGTTTTTGCGGCACTGCTCAACAACAGGGGGGTAACGTTTGCGGCACTGCTCAGACACTGGGGGGTAACTTTGCGCACTGCTCAGACACAGGGGGGTAACGTTGCGGCACGCTTCAGACACAGGGGGGTAAAAACTTGCGGCAACTGCTCAACACAGGGGGGTAACGTTGCGGCACTGGCTCAGACACAGGGGGTAAACGTTTGCTGCACTGCTCAGACACAGGGGGGTAACGTTGCGGCACTGCTCAGACACAGGGGGGTAACGTTTGCGCACTGCTCAGACACCGGGGGTAAACGTTGCGGCACTGCTCAGACACAGGGGGTAACGTTTGCGGCACTGCTCATACACAGGGGTAACGTTGCGGCACTGCTCAGACACAAGTGGGTAACTTTGCGGCACTGCCTCCAGACACAGGGGGTAACGTTGCGGCACTGCTCAGACACAGGGGGGTAACGTTGTGCGGCACTGCTCAGACACAGGGGGGTAACGTTGCGGCTAACTGCTCCAGACACAGGGGGTAACAGTTGCGGCACTGCTCCGACACAGGGGGGTAAACGTTGCTGCACTGCTCAGACACAGGGGGGTAACGTGCGGCCTGCCAGACTACAGGGGGGTAACGTTGCGGCACTGCTCAGACACAGGGGGTACCTTTGCGGCACTGCTCAACACAGGGGGTATCGTTTTCGGCGGCACTCTCAGACACAGGGGGTAACGTTGCGGCCACTGCTCAGAACACAGGGGGTAACTTTGTCGGCACTGCTCAGACACAGGGGGTAACGTTGCGCACTGCTCAGACACAGGGGGTAACGTTGCGGCACGCTCAGACACAGGGGGGTATCGTTAGCGGCACAGCTCAGACAACAGGGGGGTAACGTTGCGGCACTGCTCAGACACAGGGTAACGTTGCGGCACTGCTCAGACACAGGGGGTAAACTTTGCGGCACTGCTCAGACACAGGGGGCAACTTTGCGGCACTGCTCAACACAGGGGGGGTAACGTTGCGGCACTGCTCAGACACAGGGGGTAAACGTTGCGGCACTGCTCAGACACAAGGGGGGGGTAAGCGTTGCGGCACTGCTCAACACAGGGGGGTAACGTTGCGGCACTGCTCAGACACAGGGGGTAACGTTGCGGCACTGCACAGACACAGGGGGGACCGTTGCGGCACTGCTCAGACACAGGGGTCACTTTGCGCACTGCTCGACACAGGGGGTAAACCTTTGCGGCACTGCTCAGACACAGGTGTTAACTTTGGCGGCACTGCTCAGACACAGGGGGGTACCGTTGCGGCACTGCTCAGACACAGGGGGTTACGTTTTGCGCATTTGCTGCTCAGACACAGGGGGTAACGTTGCGGCACTGCAGCTCAGACACAGGGGGGGTAACGTTGCGGCACTGCTCAGACACAGGGTATCGTTGCGGCACTGCTCAGCCACAGGGGGAAACGTTGCGCCACTGCTCAGACACAGGGGTAACGTGCGGCAACTGCTCAGCCACAGGGGGTTAACGTTTGCGGCACTGGCTCAGACACAGGGGGTAAACGTTGCGGCACTGCTCAGACACAGGGGGGTAACGTGTGCGGCACTGCTCAGACACAGGGGTAACGTTGCGGCACTGCTCAGAAACAGGGGGGGTTAAACGTTGCGGGCACTGCTCAGACACACGGGGGAAAACGGTTGCCGGCACTGCTCAGACACAGGGTAACGTTGCGGCACTGCTTCAGACACAGGGGGGAACGTTGCTCGGCACTGCTCAGACACAGGGGGGTAACGTTGCGGCGGCACTGCTCAGAGCCACAGGGGGTAACGTTGCTGCACTGCTCAGACACATGGGGTAACGTTCGGCAATCTGCTCAGACACAGGGGGGTAAACGTTGCGTGCACGCTCAGACACAGGGGGAACGTTGCGGCACTGCTCAGACACAGGGGGTAACGTTGCGGCACTGCTCAGACACAGGTGTAACGTTGCGGCACAGCTTCAACACAGGTAACGTTGCGGCCACTGCACCAGACACTAGGGGTAAACGTTTGCGCACTGCTCAGACACCGGGGGAAACGTTGCGGCACTGCTCAGACACGGGGGGTAACGTTGCGGCACTGCTCAACACAGGGTAACGTTGCGGCACTGGCTCAGTACACAGTGGGTAACTTTGCGGCACTGCTCAGACACAGGGGGGTAACG